TTTTGGCAAAGGCAGGCCCAACCATTTTTAAGATACGGAGCTAAATGTGCGAAAAATGGCAGTTTTTGAGAGAAATAAGCGTCCGATTTAAATGATTCAAAGAACTTTCGGCTTGTTTCAACTTTTTTTAAATTTTTTTTTTAAACAAAAAAATTTTTGTATATCGAAAATAATACAGATTTTATTTTTAATTCTGACTAAAGTTCTAATATACTTTGAACAAATAATTTCAACTTTACAATTTAGTTTACATAATTCTTATAAATATTAGACAACATTACAATATTAATAATAATCTATTTCAAAACATTCAGTATTCCTCCAAAATTTCCTTACGGTACAGGAAGTTCCAGCAATTTGCCTTAAGGCACAATGTCATACACCCAACCAGTTATATTTTGTCTTTTTCGCTTAAGTTAACTTGTTGCTCGCTTGCATGTCTTGTGCGGCGGTCGATGTTTGCACGTCGTCGTCTAGACATTTTAGACTATTGGCAAAGTGTTGAATTTAACCTCAAATTCACGATCCATATAATTTACACAGTTTAACTTACCAACTTAAAGTCAAATGCCTGCTGTTGAAATTGAATAAAAGTTTGCCTGATTGATTTGATGGTTTCCAATTGAAATGTTAGAAAATGAATAACTTATTTTTTTACTTTTTTCACAATTTCACAGTGAACACAATGCCGGTTTGTCATATAAAATTAACTGAGCAGAGAACTATTAGTAGCTGTCAAACAAATGAGTAGCAGTCAAACAATGTATCACGCACAATGTAAAATATTGGTTTGTAGTGCATGCTATGTATCAGAGATGAAGCTGTATGTAAAAAAAGATTTTTCCGCTTTCTTGTTAAAAATTTTCCTCAAATTTCTTTGCTATAAACTTAACGGAGCCCGAGACCTTTCCAACGAATGTAAAATCGTTGAAATCGGTTCGTGCGTTCTGGAGTTATAGCATCAGGAAGGTAAATCCGACTTATTTTTATATAAGAGATATAATATATATGTCTGTTAAATTCGTCTTTCAACTTGATGTTGAAATATTAAATTAAATTAAACAAAAAATAAGCAATAGATTTTGAAGATGGTAAATGTAAACAAACTTCTGCGTAATAAAAGATGGGGAAAAAGCAGCATAAAAATATTGAAATAAAATAAAAGGAGTACTTCTGAAAACGCTTAAAATCAGCTAATATATAGATAATAATAGTAGCTAAAAATTCGTGCATAACCCAGGAAATGATAAGGAAAAAGGAAACGCAGAAAGTATAAGAATACACACCGGAGATGTATAAAAAATTTAATAGCAAATCAGGGCGAGAAACGAAGGAGGCAAAAGCAAACATTCAAAAACAAGATAGACACGATCTAATGTTGAAAGCTATAAAGGAGATGGATTGAACTGAAATGAAAAGAAAATCATACGAAATGTAATACTACAATGTAAATAAAGTGACTGATCACAAAAAAAATTTCAGCGTGTGAACGAAATGCATTAAGAAATTGAACAATTGAGAAAATTGTCCTGTCAATATTGAGATCGAAAAAGAGAATAAAGTGGAAGAAGATGACAAGAGATCGGGCGTATTGAAAAGCAAAGTTAAGAGAGCCATAAAAGAAATTAGAAGAAAAAAGGTAACAGCAGATGACGATATAACGGTGGACCTGTTCAAAGAGCTGGGTAACAAAAGATTAAAAAAACTGACCAAACCGGTGAAACAAATATACCGAACAGGCCAAATAACTTCCTGGATGTTGCAATGATATCTCTTCAGAAGAAGAGTGCAGAAAACAAGTGCAGCGACCACAGGACGATCAATTTGAATTGGTTAACAGAAGAGGTGCTGGCCAAAATACTTACTAGACAACTAGAAAATTAGATCGAAAAAAGACTAGTTTGGTTTTTGCTCGTTTGACAAAAATATATACTTCTGTTTTATTGATTCGAAGAAAGCTTTTGAAGTCAACTGGAGTAAGCTTATGGAAATTTTAAAATCTATTAACGTCTAATTTTATGATCCAAACAGCGTTGAAATAGGTAGATGCGTGCGGCAAAGGTCCTCCATGTCATCAAACCTATTCAACCTGTACGGAGAATGTCTTAGCAAAGAAGCCCTTGTTAATACTGGAGATTTTTCAATTAGAGAAAAACAAATCTTCACCATAAATTTGGCTTTGATCTAGATAACAAAAAACGATTCACAAAATATGATAAGCAGAATATTCGAAGTGGATAAAAAATACGAAATGTAAATCAACATCGATAGGTCGAAAGTAATGGAATCAGGAAACGAGATAGGCCCTTGAAGATAACGGTAGGAAATTAAGGATTGAAGACGTACATTATCAGAGGCGAATATTGCATGAGAGGGATCAAGACAAAAATCACAAGCGCCAAATAGGTATGAAACGCTACTGGCAAGCAAACTCTGTCTCGATTTAAGGAAATCATTGCTTGGAGCATAGCTTTTTAGGCATCAAAGACATGAAATCTAAGAAAGACGACAAGTACGAAGAAGATAAAGTGAACAAACAAGATAATAAGTTAAGTAGTCCTGTAAAGAGTGGGCAAAGAAAGAACTCTATCGAGAACGATCCTGAATAAAAGGAAACTGGAACGAATCCGTTCTGCAATAGGAATACCTATTATATATATATATATATATATATATATATATATATATATATAAAAGTAAAATAGAAGTATTAAACATAATCGGATGTAGAAGACTGCAGGTGATTGGCAACCTACGAGAGAGAAGGTGATGCAGAAAACTGAATGCCGAAGTACAGAACCAGGAAGCATGGAAGCAGAAAGTCAAAAAAGATAATAGTTAAGAACAGAAGAAGTCCTTTAGTCCGGCTTGCTTGGGACAGATACCTGTGTCGGTCTTTCAAAAATTCCGAACTATCGAATCGTAATTATAAAAACAATTATGAAACTTATACTTAAACAACCTAATCAGAAGCAAATATAAAACAAAAAAGCTTATTTCATATTATTATAACACATTAATTTTAAATATTTTTAAATTATTAACAAAAACATATTTGATAAATTGGTTTAATATTAGGAAAAAATGGAGATTGTAAGATTGTAAAACTGCTTTATTATTCCAAATATTTTGACGTAAAATTCTGCGTCAGTTACAGTGGCTCTGTAATTTTCTGTAAATGAATATATTGTGCAATAATATTACAAATATATAACAGTTAAACATTTTGAAGGTAAAATTGCAACTGTTATTATAATTTTTAAATTAATTCTGATGTAGCTGTTCCTTACAAGGCCTATTAATGCTATATAGGGAATGCAATACCGGTATACCGGTATACCGAATTACCGGTAAACCGCCCAATTTCTCGGCGGTATTTTTACCGGTATTAACCCCAAAAATACCGGTATTTTCGGTATTTTTACATAAGCGCTATTTGATACAAAATACACTAAAGTTTAAATTTCTCGGAACAAATTTATCTTTAAATTCTATAATCGCATAAACAGCTATATCTTTAAGTGATTCTATAGTATAAACAAATGTCAAATATTATCTCAACTCGTCATTAAACTGAATATTTATTGCTTTACTAAGGGCTTCATATCGTGTTACAATAAATAGAATTGGACTGATAGATAATGAAGTTTAACGGTTTTTTAAATGACATTTGCGCTAAAATATTTTATATCATACAGATTACCCCTGCGTAATCTTTATATTTTTATTACATTATACATAATAATTATGATAATTACTAAATATTTTTTCTTCTTATTACAATTATAAAATATTATTTTGAAAAAAAGTTTCGAAGTTTGTAAATACTATAGAAGCATCACTTTGTTTTAAATAACAATACTCTACAATTATAGTAACTTATTATTTATCTCGACAAAGTATCCAATCTTAAATTAGTGTAGAATTTTTTTTTTAAATGTTGGAGATTATGCTAATTTAACTCATCGGATACAGACAATACAGTTTATTATAATAATGTAATATGATCTTTTATGAGTTTTTAGTCTTTCTTACTCATAAGTTTGTTTTTGGTGAAAAGTACTCAATAGACTCGATAGTGATAATGAATTAATTAAATTGGATATAATTTTGTTAAATTATTATTTAAAAAATGAACTTATTGTTTTATTTTATTGTTTTTATTGTTTAGTTGAATATAGTTGTAGTTGTATATACATTTTTTATATTTGTACTAGTAACTTTCAATTTATGGCGGACATAGCTCAGAGGTAGCATGTCCGACTCACATGCCGGAGATCGTTGGTTCGATCCCTGGCGCTTCCAATTGTAAAATATCAAAAATGATTTAGAATTTCAATTGTAAGATGTATGTAATAAATGGTTTGAATGTATAAGGTATTAGAATGTATAAAAAATTGAATTAGAATTGAAAATAAAGAAAAATGAAATAGTAGAAAGTAGTAGGAAGATTAAAAAGGGAAGAATGAAGATAAGTTGAGCTATGTAGAAGAATAGGATTTATGTGAAGAAGATAAGTTGAAAGAAAGTATATAGTATAAGAAGAATAGAATCCATATATAAATTGAATTTGATATAAAAATTAGTATAGAATGTAAATAAATGTTGTAGGTGGCTAAATGCTCAGAGTAAGCGAAGCCAAATAAAAATTTAAAAAAATTAAAATTAAAAAATTAAAAAAAAAACTTTCAATTTCATTTAGGTTTGTTTAAGATAATAAAAATACCGGTAATTTACCGTTATTCCGGTTTTAAAATAAAAAATTACTGAAATACCGGTATTGAAATTCCATCCGTATTGCATTCCCTAATGCTATGTATATTAATTACAACAAGCTCATGTCTGCAACAATAAACATAAACTCACTCTGTTTTATATAGTATATATGCTTCAGATGACATTATTTATGAAGACGCTATCGGTCTTTGCGTGTGCTAGTTTGAACAATAATGTATAGTATCACGTTTGTGTTTGGCAGTTGCGCACAAAAACAAAGCATTCAGATTGAGAAGATTTTTGTATTATGTTATCAGTAACTTTTATGAGTGGAGTTGACAGCGATGCATATCCTTGAGGTCCAACTGCATAAGCGTCTCTGCTTGTGCGCAAAAAGCGCTGAGGGCGACGACGCCTAAAATAAACAAATGAATTATAAGTAAAATTAAATGTATAATTAAAAAGTTATTCAAAAGCAATAAAACATTAAATTCATACTGGCACATATATTTTTGACAAGTTTAAGATACAATAAATGTATTTATTGTTTTGAAATCTTTCAAATAAAATGTGTTATTTCTGTAAGATTTTTGAAATTAATTCCAATGCAATAAAAATAATCATCTCAACACTGAACACATTATTTCCATATACACACACATATATATATATATATATATATATATATATTTTTTGTAGAGTTTCGAACAAGAATCCAAAAATAATACAAAATAAAAAACAAGAAAAGTTTTTAATAAACAATTTCTTTATTTAATTATTTGTTTACTGTCAACGTTTCGGAACTAGGTACGTACCATCTTCAGGACATCTGTCAAGAAACATGATCTTGATGAGATTTAAGCAAGCCATATGTTTAGGAATAGAAAATAGATTTTTCTTAAATAATAAATTAATTGTAACAAATAATAATGTACAGAAATATAATAATATGATCAAAATGAAAATGATAAAAATAAATGAGTGGATTATCAGAACAGGATATTAAAAATGATAGAAATTTTTTGAAAGTTATGGAAAAAATTACCTGTATGTTTGAATATACGTTAGCACTTTTTCACTAAACAAGAATTTTTGACAAAAAATGAATTTGTGAGTTATTTTTCCGCCGAATGGTTAACTTTTGTAAATCAAAATTACTAAAAGTGTTGTCTTTTTTTAAAATTATTATTTGAAAACAAATAATATTGTATTCGATGTTATACTATTGGCTTTTGGAAACGAACTAATTGTATTTGGTGGTTCATATGTAACACGTGTAAACACTTGAAACGAGAACTGTGAGATTGTATGTGTGTGTTTTTTTCTGTTAGGGTGTAAATACTTAAATTATTGAACTTAAAGGGAAGTCGATATTAATTGTTTGTCAAAAAATGTAAAAAATTTAAATATAAATCATGTAATAGGTTGTGATCTGATCTAATGTTGACACTGTTAGAAACATTCATGAGAATAAGACAACTCTCCGCGAATAATCTCCTAAAGATGCAACTTTCATGATATAAAATCTTTGGAGTGAAATTAAATGAATGGGCGTTTTCTATAGAGTGTTGTACTAGGGTACTTTTGAAATTTTTTTTTGTTTATATTTAAATTTAGGTTTTTCGGCGAGAGGTTTTTCTTCAGATGGTGAAATAATGTAATAAAATTGTTTTATTGAAAAAAACCGCATTAAATCTATTTTTTGCAACCAACTTAATTCATTTTTCAAATTTGACATTTCTAACTTTCATCAACATAAAGAACTACTCAAAGATATCCACTTTTGCAAATCCTTTATTAAACAACACCCAGAAATTGTTGTTAGGGCAGATAAGGGCAGATAAGGGTAACATCACGGTTATCGTGAACAAAGTTGACTATATTTCCAAATTCATGTCTCTCCTAGCTGATATAAACACTTACGAGCCTATAAATTCAGATCCCACCGACCTTATAAATCGGAATACTTTGAAATTCATTGATTCACTCATAGAAAACAAACAAATTCCCAAACCTCTCTCTCTCCAATTAAAAACTTACAATCCCATTTCCCCAAAACTTTATTGTCTTCCCAAAATCCACAAAGATGGTTTTCCTCTTCGACCAATAGTTGTTGACTTAAATTCCCCTCTTTGCAAATTATCCAAATTTATTAGTTCAATTTTGTCCAATATCACTCATAATTCTCCCCATTTTGTCAAAAATTCTTTCGAAGTCATTCCCAAACTTAACTTTCTCAATGTACCATCTGATTTTTCCTTTATGAGTTTAGATGTTGTTTCCCTCTTCACTAACATTTCACCTGACCTTATCCTCTCTGCCATAGACCATAAATGGGTTGATATCAGCAAACACACAGATTTCAATTTTTCTTGGTTCCTGAAATGTATTAAATTCATTATCACTCCAATGGGTTCCAGTTTGAGTGCCCCACTTGCTGAACTTTGTATGCAATTCCTAGAGAACTCTACTCTTAATACCTTGTCTTATGTACCTCTTTTTTACAAACGTTACGTTGACGACATTTTAACTTGCATTCCTACTTATAACATAACCAATTTCCTAAATTCTTTTAATAATTTCGACTCACACCTTTGTTTTACCGTAGAGACTCAACTTAACAACTCCATTAATTTTTTAGATATTACCCTTTTTATAAATAACAACTCCATCACTACATGTTGGTATCAAAAATCCACTTGGTCTGGACGCTATTTAAACTACCATTTCTATCACCTCAAATATACCAAGATTGCATCCATCATCAACTTACTAGATCATGTCATCCTTCTTTCTCATCCATCACATTGGGAAAAAAATATTAATTTGATATATTCTACCTTTCAAAATAATTCCTATCCACTACAACTTTTACGCTCAGTAATGAATAATAGATTACCCTTTCTTCGTAATAAATTCCGTACATCTTCCCTATTTACCTCCCAATCACAACAAAATAGTATCATTTCACAAAACTTTAACCATGTTCCTGAAAATTCACTATGTCTCAATTCCTTCATCTCATTACCGTACATTGACTGCCTTTTCCACTCATGGAAAAAACTTTTTTCATCCGTTGGTCTGAAGCTATTGTGTTCGACTGGACACACTCTCATAGACTTATACACTAATTTAAAAACTCCTACCCCTATTTCCCGCACGTAAAACGTCGCATATGTCATTGATTGTAATGATTGTTCAAGCTGTTATGTTGGAGAAACTTCACAATTTCTCTCAAAAAGAATGCGCCAACACGAACTTAATAGTTTGAACAGGAAACAAAATAAAACCATGATCACCGAGCATGTCTCCAAATTTAAACATTCTTTTAATTTCACCAATCCAAGAGTTATTCATCGAGAAGCGAACATTTTACGCAGAAAGTTTGCTGAGAGTATTTTCATACAAATATTACCTCCTATTAACAAACGATTTGATTCGGCTTCTCTTTGCAATATTCACCGCGATGCTTCAAATAATTTTTTCAATATGCGCTATACATCCTAACATTTCTTTTATGTATGGTATATATTATATATATATATATATATATATATATATATATATGTATATATATATAATAAAAACTTGAATTGGGACTATCACATTGATTATATACTAACACCCAATTTAACGAAAACGTGTTTTATGTTAAGAGTTCTTAAATCTAAGGTTAGTTTAAATTGTCTTCTCTCAATTTACTATTCCAATTTTTACTCACACATCGCATATGGAATCCAGTTTTGGGGGTTCTCTCCATCTCTTAACCACATTTTCAAACTTCAAAAAAGAGCTTTGAGAATAATTTTTTCTATTAGTTCTTTATCTTCTTGTAAAAACGTTTTCGTGAACATAATATCCTTACCGTTCCCTGTATATTTTTGTTCATTACTTTATCGTTTATAAAAAATAATCCCAAACGTTTCAATTTGTCTTCAATGTCAAATTCTCATTACAAGACAAGAAACTTAACTATTAAAGCGCTAGTTTTTAGACTTACAACGTCTTTTAACTCAATTGACGGATTTGGAATTCAACTTTTTAACTTACTACCACTTCACATACGAAAACTAAATAATCATAAATTCCACAATACTATAGTAAAATTCTTAAAAGCTCAATATTTCTATGATATTTTAGAATTTGTTAATTTTGATATTAAACAATACTTTGCTAATCAATGATAATTTAGTAATCACCTGCCTCTCATTCATGTCATCTTTTCCCTAAATTTTATTATTTAATGAATTCTACTAACCCTTTCTATATAAAATATCTTTTATTCAAATTCATTTATTAGTATATTTCTTTTTTGATACTGCGCTTCTTCCTTTTTGCAGATCCACATTAGAATTTGACGCACATTGACGGACAGGATTGATTCAAGTCTATTTTCTATCAGCAACTGTCGACATTGCATTTATTATTCCTGATCTTTTAACGGTGCCCAAAACGAAGATATTAAAGTGTGCATCATATTCTGAAAACATGCATTGATTATCTAAAATATTTCAGTTGGTCTCAACTGAACATATCTAATTTTTCTTTTCATTCCAGACTTGGGATGAACTCGGATCGCGTCACTTGCGTTTTCATGATCTCCGATATATATATATATATATATATATATATGTTTAATTTGAGTTTAATATTCGGGCGTAACATCAATAAAAATAATAATAATATTTTTATTGATGTTACGCCCGAATATTAAACTCAAATTAAACATATATATCAACATCAAATTCAAGAATATTCAAAAATATATATATATATATATATATACTAGCCGACACGACAGACTTCGTCCTGTCAAAAAAATTTGTAATGTGGCGGTGTTTTTTGTTTCTACCTTTTTTCTATTCTTTGCAAAAAATTATTCTGAACAGAACCGTCACCCTGGTAATAATTCGGTGTGAATTAAAAATAATTAAATAAAACACTATAAGCATTTAAAAGTAAGTAATTTTAATCAGGTAAATCACAATTCAAAAATCAGTTCAATTTTCATTGTAGTGCTTTGTGATAAACGATATTTTTTGTTTGATTACCTGGCGCATAGACAAACAAATTTGATGGTTTTCCAATACGGGAACAGACAACAAACAATTTTCCATGTGAGAAACATAGGTTTTCCAAATTAATATCACAAACACTTAATGATACCATAAACGCACTGGAAACTGTAGTCGTTTAATCTCAAATGGCACATCAGTCGGAAACATTGGGATGCACGGTGCGAGAACATCTTTTGCTTTATACTATCCTTTCAATATAGTTGCTTCCATCACGTTGTTTGGTAGTTTTTTTATCGCTAACCTTGTGCCGTTGCAAAGGCGCGTATGGTCGATATTTCGCAACATTATAATTGCCGATCCAACCTTTAATTGAAGATTGTGAGATGACAATCCTAGC